GGGGCCACCTTCCTAAAGCATCATTAAAAGCTCTTACATTTAGGTATGTCATCAAGGTTTCAGCCTTCTATCTTAATTAAAAGTGGATGAAATTTGAGTTAAATGATTTGAGGATAAGATACAAAGCAAGTTAAATAAAAGCATTTAAAAATTTATTAAATTGACTATAATTATTGATTTCATAGTTCTGAAATATAAATTAAACTTAAATGAAATTTCTGATTATTTGAAATCAAATCATGATGATTATTAACAATTTATTTTAAATTATTTCTTGATAATAAAATAAATAAAACTATCATCATCATCATCATCATCACTGCCTGACAGAATGTATATCATGGATAAAGCAATCATAAATCACAGAAGCAGTTCCTTAAAATAACAATTAATTTTATTAATGATTAAGATAATTCATGTCTATTATGCTGAATTATTTATGGGATGAAATAATTTGCTACTTACTAATGGGATTATTATTTAATGATTTTTCTATACTAAACCCAAATCTCCACTTAACAAAATTATACTAAATAGTTTTTTCAACATTTTCTATTAAAGAAAAAATTATATTCTTGTAAAATACAACATTACTTCATCTAGTTTTTAATTATTCAACTAAAAATAACATTAGAACCACAACATATAGTAATTTATTAGTCATTAGAAATACATATTAAAATGTATATTTAATAACTAATTTTTCAATAGAATTACTTACAATATAATATTTATATAGTAATTCATATTAATTTAACAATAATTACTATATTTAATAATAATTGTCAATGTTTCAGTATTTAAACAATGAATTAAGTTCATAATTAAAGAACACACACCTATATATATAAAAATTAACTGTTATTATAGACAAAATAAGATTAGTCATATAATTTACATTATATGATACACGATATACAATGATATACTTCAGTAATTATATTAATTATAATATGTAAGGGTAAATATTATATATTTTATTAGAAATTAGCAATAAATTGTTTCAAATTTAATATTAAATTAAAAGAATGATCTCTTAATTATATGAAAAATCAGTATAAAACAGGTTGACAAATATTAATAGCTATAACAAAATAAAGCATTCAGTTTTTATTAATACATTTCCTTCCACTTATTTGACTTTTTAATTGCGCATAACAAAAGTTATAATTTTCATAAAAGAATTACTTTTAAATGACATGCCATTTAACATAAATGTAAATCAATGAAGCAATTAAGGAGAGTTGATATAATTATTTTATAATGTTTTAATAATAATAAATTTCTTTAAAGAATTAGATAAATTCAATATAATTCTACTTGATTGCTTGAGGAAATGAAAAAAGCTTAAATATTTTTATGGAGCAGAATTTCCATTTATTAAAAAAAAATAATACTAATTTTACAAAGTTCATTTAATATCATTTATCAATAAAAAAGATTATTCAATGCTGAAAGTAATCAAAGTAATCTATGCAAAAAAGTAATCAAATGGTAGATTTCTTAAAAAAAAAACGGACACTTAAATTAAAACCAAAAAAATTTAATTCATCACCTTTGATAGTTGAATTTAAGAAATGAATAAAAATAAATATAATACATATTTAATTACTATTTATTTAATATAAAATGCATGATTTCTCTTCAATCATAAAAATATTCTGTAATAAACAAACATAAATTAGTTTTCAATAAATATTTATCAATCATAATTTTTTTAATATTCTTGATTTTTTTCATATGTTCATTTCCAGCATAATATATATGAAGGCTATTTTTCAGCTGGAATGCACTGGTTTGCCATATTGGCAGATTGAGTAAAAAGTATTGATAGCTAGTACTAGTATTGGCAGTTACTCAGTGAAAACAATTCTATGTTCAGTCATCATGTGTGCATACCAGTAATTTTTTTTATAAAAAGGGCACTTATATAAATGTTCAATTTCTAAAAAATAGATTTTATGAACAAAAATTTATAGGAATTGATTCTTTACATTAAAACATTAAAATATTTAAATCTAATTAGTTTGCAACTTTTGCAAATTTCTTCCAAATAAATTTTGTGTCAATAAACTATAATTGCAAATTATGTTTTAATATATATATATTAAAAAACCACTTACTGAATCTGTTTGTATTCAGTATCTTCTAGAAATAAAACAAATTCAGAATGGAAGATGTTAAAAATTAAATCAGTAATGTATAATTAAAAAAAAAATCATTTCAATGACTTTATAGATGGCTTTTTTCAATAGTTAAAAAGTTATTTGAATCTTAAATAGGAAATAATACAAATTATTATATATTGTTTATAGCATGAAACAAATTATGCATGAAAAATGAATGTTTTAAAGTGAAAACTGCAAACTGTCTTAATTTTTATAATTTATTTTTACTATGAGTAATTTTTAAGATATATCAACTCCTAAAATTTCTTTCATTTGTTTTCTAAGAAGGAATATATCGCACATAGAACAGTATGTCAGAAAACATGGCAACATTATAGAATTGTGCTTGCACAGAATGTAAAAACAGGATAAAAGCAAAAGAAAATGCAAGTATAGTTGATTCATAACAGTATTGAAAATGAAAAGATGTTAGAACAATTGAAATGCAAGTATATCTTTTTCTTATGACAATACTCCTTTAATAATTAACAAAATTGTTATACTGCTTAAACAAGAAACTAAATATTTTTAATTTGAATGTTTACAAAGTTTACCTCCATCTTCAGAGAACAAAGTCAACAAATATGTTTGCACTTTAATGTATCATCATAATAACATTAGATGATAATATCAAAACATAATGAATAAATTTGAAGTAAACTAAAGATTGTAGAATTTGCATGTTATTTTATAAGTAATATCAATCTGTTATCTAAATAAATAAAAAACAATATTATGAATAAAACAAAATACAATTTTTTTTATATATTTATTCAAAAAGAGATTTAATATTTGATCCCTTATTAAAAACATTTATAAGAAAAAGTTAAAAATAAGTCAACACAAATTATTTTAAATTAAAATTTTAATGTTTATTTAACATAAATTTAACAACAAATTAAACACAAAATTTTTAAATTTCAATGAACTGTACTTTGAACATTAAAATTTAAAAATTTCTATACAAACTTCTGTATTTTATCCATATTTGTGAAAAATTTTTTAATGTTAACAAATGACAAAAAACATATAGTAAACTGTTAAAAGAATTTGTTCAGAAAATTGTCTTATAAATATGATTTTTATTTAATAACATTTAATACCAGATTGAAAGCCGATAATATTTAAACTTTTGATTTTAGATATAAATGTTAGAAATAATATTATCTACTTACATTAACAATAATTTAATATTCAATTTTTGTTAATTAACAAGCATTGTTATCTAAACATGATAAAAAATAAAGTTAATTAACAGCAGCACATTAAATACATATTTATTTCATCAAATTTGCGTCATACGATGCTTAAAAAATTCATCATAATTAAAAATAAAAGAAATCATTTCAAACTTTGATAGACATAACAAATGAAATATAAAATAGGACAAAAATATTTTTAGAAATAGTACAAATCATTAATAAATGAGTAATGTTAAAAAAACATAAAACAAATTCTTGCTAATGGCATTTACTGTTAACATATCCAGTAATTTTGAAAATATGCACCATAAAAAAAAATTATTATAGCATTTCAATATGACAATTTTTCTTCCACAATGACAATTTTTCTAATTTCTTTCATAGACTTTAAAGAAATATTTACATTCATCGGCACGGCGGATGGCAGTTAACATGTTAATTTCTGAATAATAATATATAATAGGAGTCCAAACAAGTTTATATTAAGGTAGGTCCCTCAAGCAGGAAGATGCAAGAATACAGGTCGAAATGGTTTGGTCACATAGAGTGAAGTAGTGAAGATCATGTCAGAAAGAGGGTTGGAAAACTGGGAGCAAAAGGAAGGAAGAGAGGAAGACCAAGGCTGCATCGGGAAAGACAAGGCAGAGGAAGACTCGAATCAGAGGGAACTTAAGAGAGAAGCCCTCGATAGGAAGAAATGGAGGAAGCAAACACATTAAAGAAGGAAATGCCAACCCCATATAAACATGGGAAAAGACAAAGAAGAAGAATAGGAGTCTGAACTAAACAAAATCATATAAGATTTAAAAAACAGATGCTTATAATTAAAACAAAGAAAATTAGATGGGGCATTTAATAAATATTAATTGGGTTTTAATATAAAATTTAATTTTTTTTTTACAAATTTCTATGATGATGATTATATACTGTATATATATTATGTCAAAAAATATATTTTAAAAATATTTAAACGATTTTTTATATTTTTTATTTATTATTTTTCATACATTTTTGCAGAATTTTGAAAATATTTTTTGTGTCAATTTCAAAACTTCACGTTAACATCACGTTACCATAACAACGTGATGTCTGATGAGGAGGAAAGTCAACAGAAGAAGAAAAAAAAAAGATGCTCAGAGAAACTTACGAAGTTCACATTATTATTATTAAATTTGTTAAAAAATTAATTTTGATATCACTTTTTAAAATTTATTTCCTAATATATTTTATTTTAAAGCAGAAATTAGTTTCGAATCTTTAAATTAAAATTGTGAATGATCTTTAAATCGTATATATAAAAATCTATTAAATGAGATTACTAATATTAAAAAGATCTATCTATAAGTTTAAAATTAATGCTAAATAAAAATTTTATATACATTTTAAATAATCGAAATTACTTCACGACCGTAGTTTGAAATTACGTCACGAGCGTAGGTTAAAATTACAATTACAGTATTAGTTTCGTATTTTGTTTATTTTCTTTCGATATACATGCTATTCTAACCGAATCTATTTATTACTCGTAAAAGATAGTTGCATCAAATAATTTGACATTTATAAATAAAAATCTCAAATAAAGCAACCACGATGAAATTCAATGCATTTAAATCAACATGCATCTTAATACCTATTAGCATTCGAAACGACTCCTTTACTATATCCACCGTTGATCCTTTTTATGATATTGCAAACGATCCCGTCCGCTATATCATATCGCCATCTTGGATGGGATGAAGGCGACGCCGAGACGCCACCTGGAATTTCGCATCCGAAACTCTTTTAAGTTAATATACTTATCGTATATATTTATAGTATTCGAAAATTATATACTTTAAAATCGTTTATAAATAATAAACGTTTATGAAATTTAAGTAAAATGGAGTTTAATTGCAAAATTATTCTTCCGATACCACTAAATTGCATTATCTGACCGTAAACGTTAAATGATAAACTATAGATTATGTGATCACTCTTCAATCGATCTTTCTTTCTTTTTCTTCTCTCTCTCTTTAACAAATCGACTTTTCAATCAATTTTTTTTAAAAAAAAACATTGCTGATCGATTCTTTTATGAAAACCAATTTAAATTTCTTTGTAATATTTAAGGAAAACTATTTTATTTTGTATATGAATTCCGACGCAACTTGACATTTAATACAAAATTAGAACATACAAATGTTTTTTCATATACATATAAATTGTATCCAGGGGCGAATCTAGATTTTTTAGAGCCTAGGGATTATTGAAGTCCAATAGGGCCCATTTTTACCAAACCTAACCTATTAACTATAACCGAGCGGCCGAGGTGGCAGTCTACCACTCTCTGTGGATCCGGGATCGAAAAATTCCTGGGGATTTTTCGATCCCGGTCCGTCCAGATATGTCGGGCCTCGTCCCTCATCATCCGGTAGACCCATCATGGGTCTAGCCGAATCCATAATGGGCTTGCTAAAAGAGGCCCCTCTTAGTGCCTAAAGGGCGGAGTTTAAATAACCTATTTTTTACTATACGATAAGCGCTCATTGTTAGTTAATTAATGAAAAAGTATTAAAAATTTATGATAATAATTCAATTTTTGTGGGCTAGTGACACTTGGGGGCCCGGGGCTTAAGCCTTATTAGTCCCTATGTAGATCTGTCCCTGATTATATCGTTCGGTTTAATCGGAGCAATTGTGTATAAAAGCCACTAAAATTTATAACAATAAAACTGAAAATTTATTAAACGTTCGCTACAAGAATGCCTCTTGAAACATGGCTACAATCGTATATTTAGCGATATAAAAATGATAAACAATTATTTAAAAACTCAAATTTATCAAATACATGAAAACTAAAACATTGCAAGATCTGAGTATAGAATAACATTACAATGTAAAGTCAGTAACATGTTTTTTTGAACAGTCTCTTAATAAATAAAATGAGTAATGTATAGTGTCATTACACTATACATTACTCATTGAATATAATTTGTTTATTAATTTTAATATATTTTAACGATTACCATTTAAGAATTTTTAACATTTGTAATAAAACTGGTAAAAATATTTAAATTTTGAATCCATCACCCAAAAATAAACTAATTAAATTTAACAATTTTAGTAAAGATATTTATATTATCAATAAGTAATTGATGATTTGTTCTCTCCGTATTTCATCTGCACTTGCATTTTTGTTAAAACGTTTTGCATTCGTTCCAATTCGGCTACTTTTCTTCTAAATTCTTCTAAATTTTCTTCTACGCCATAATGTGGTTCCTTTATCTGCTAAACGATCTGCACGATATGCTTCGTAAAGAAGTTTGTGAGTTACTTCTTGCAAATCTTGCATATGAGTTCTACAATCAGTATAATTAATTTTAGTAATAATTCTGAAGATATTTTAATACTTACAACAGGAACTTACATTAGCATCGATTTTAATTTGGAAAAATCGCAATGTTCGGGATTTTCAATATCCACTAAACCCCATGGATATTCTCGACCTTTAACTTTAGTACCATTCACTTCAATTGTTTGCAAAGCTGATGAAACAGCAAATGGTGTAGCTTCCTAAAAATGTAAAGAAAATTGTTTTAAACTTCAATTTTAAAGTACATAATTTAAAATTATAGACATACTAACTTTTAATTCGTTAACTAGCTGTTTATAATCTTCATCTTCGTCTGAGTCACAATCCGGAAAACTATATATTCGTATGCCATTTTCTAGTATTTCTCTCATTACCTTGAATAAAGTATAACATTTATCCACTTAACTTTATATCAAATATCACTTTATTATATAAGGCCCGGTAAAACGGCTTATTTCATTGGCTTGCTTATCCAGCTGTATTAAAGCCGTCTTATCAGGCAACCATCTCGTAACTTACTCTATCTTTCATCTTAGCGAGTTCTGCCTTAGTTAGAGCATCTGCTTTTGTAATCAGAGGTATTACATTCACTTTATTATGAAGTTGCTTCATAAAAATAATATCGATAGGTTTGAGTCCGTGTACAAATGGTGATATGCAGTAAAAACAACAATGAACTCGTGTGTCGTGTAGATTTCGTTGATGTAAAGCACTTTCATCTCTCAAGAAGCATTCAAGCTGTTCTTCAATGTATTGATTAATAGGAATAAAACTGTAAAATTGATATAATGAATTAATTTTTTACTAGCAAGAATAATTTGCCTTAGAAATAAATGGCCTACCAATCAGTGTCATCGATGGCATTACCATATCCCGGTGTATCAACGATTGTTAATCTTAATTTCACACTTTTTTCTTCGATTTCCACAGTGGATGTATTAATCGAGACAGTTTGTTCAATTTTTTCTAAAAACACAGATGTAACAGAATTGATTATATTTTTATTTTTTATAATATTCTGATTAAATTTATTCAAAGCATAAACCTTTTGCTTCTGGAACATATCTATTTGGATATAGATCAGCTAATAAGCTGTTAATCAAGGTAGACTTGCCTAATCCAGATTCACCTTTAAGAGACAATCAGAAATTTAGATTTAATAAAAATATTATGTAGACTGACGAAATAATTATAGATAATGAAATATTTCGACTACTAACCGACCACCATTAATGTGAATTCGAAACCTTTCTTTACATATTTCCTATGTGCTTGATTGGGAAGTCTATAAAATCCCAAATACTTAGACAATTCTTGTTTAGTATTCTAGAAATAAATATTTTGTTAAAACATTTTCAGAAATAATTTAATTATGCAAATTTATCAAATATTTTATTTCTCAAAACAATGATTTTTTTTCTCATTACTACGAAAGTGCTCAAGATATAATTGGGGGAGTAAAAGTAAGATTTCATTCTTTCTTAGGTTGTATTCTATTTTGCAGTTTTTTTTGGGACTGCAATTTAAAAAAAAATTGTAGACCTATAAATTCCCACTGCAGTCCGTCTGCCTGTCTTTTCTTAATCTCGAGGAGTCAGATAGATAAAAAGCGAGACAAAATGTGGAAAGGTTAAGAGCAGGAGGCCTCGGTTAACTGTATACGAAGTTCCAGTCTAAACCAGAAGTCACGTTATATTTATTCAAAAACTTCTCCCTGAAAGGAGTTAGATGACCAGCATGACTATTGTTACCAGGAAAAGTATAATGTGCAGGGGCAAGACACTACTAATTTGAGATGGAGAGCACATAATTTAAATGAAATAGATTAAAAATATGATTCAAAATTGCAACCCAGCATTATAACGATGTCACAATAAATAATTGCTCGTATGCTAATAGCGAGGTTGCGGCCGACGTTTTCAACCCGAAAACGTGTACGTCGGACGTTCAGCGCCGCCTTCCTGTGAGTATATAAGTTTGACAATGGCGTTTGGAATGCCAGTGGAATCATGCTCGACGTTCCAAACGCTATTGTCAAACTCACAGGAAGGCGGCGCTGAACGTCCGACGTACACGTTTTCGCGTTGAAAACGTCGGCCGCAACCTTTCTAATAAACGTTCTTAAATTCACAATAAATTCAGCAATTTATTTGTATTATAAAACATTTTGTACAGCTTTTGTTGTACAAATTCTTTTTTCCCCTTGGGCTTCGGGAATTTTAATTGTCAAAGGGAAAATAGATATACTTTCTTAAATTTTTCGCAAATCTAAGAGTTTTAAAAGGACTCATCTCATAATTTTGGGGGATAACTTTTATTAAAATTTTTTTGTATACTTTTCATTCATGATCAATAAGATATTTTAATTTTTTATTAGTGTGGACGCCTTCTAATAGCCATTAATTAATAACGCTAAAAATCTGTTAATTATTGTATTGCATACTAATTAATGTTGTTATTTAAGTTATTTAAGCTAATATTAATTATTTTTTTTAGCTGCAATAACTGAGTCAATAATAATACAATTTAATGATATACCTACGGTTAGGTTAAATTGTGTGACTTATACATTTCTACATTTGCTACTTTTTAAAAGTTTTCTGTTGTATTCGAAAATGTATTTATTTCACTTTCATTTATAACGATGCCTTATGGCATCGTTCATAACCTAGAAATTGGCATGTCCTCGATGATATTCCTCATTATAATAGATAACACAAATATCCACTGCCTAGGTACTGTACCTTAGGTAGATTTCGAATCCGACGACTACAGAACGATTTAAATTTTTAATAAATAATAAAAAATGCCCAGGATGTTGGACGTTGTAGGTGATTGTGCCGTAATCGACCGGAAGTTGAGGGGAGGGACCAATCTATTCGGCACCTCGCCCAACTGATGATCCCACTAGGTCCAGTATAACGCAGAATCCCGAGGAGGCAGAACCTTATACCCCGTTCACACCGAGCATTTCGATCTAGATTGTGACTAAGGTCAGAGCCTGTTCCGTGGTGCGAACGCTCTCGACCGTTTCAATCTCGACTGAAACGAGGTTCAATCGCGATCAACTGGAGAGAATTTTCGAAACTAGATCCAGTCATAAGAGAGATCCCACAATCCCACGCGCGCGAGAAAATACAGGATGGCTACGGAACACGTGTCGGGCTATCGACAGAGAAATAAAAAAGACATCTGGAGAGACGACGACATCTGTCTATTATTAGATGTACGGCAAGAAAAAGTATTTATTTCTAACCAAAATTTCAATTTTGTTTGTTGGTGTTTGTGACTTACCGCGTAGTTACGTCAGTTTTATGATCGCGTGTAATAGCCAGGTTCTTCTCCAGTGGACTGCCTGTGCGAACAGCACGACGTTCGACTAGCGACAGTCACAATCCAGATTGTAGGTAAATCGAGATCGAAGTGAATCGTGGATTGTGTGCGAACGTAGTATTAATTGCAGTCCTCAAGACTACTCACATTTGTGGAAAATCCAATTAATCATAGTTTAAAATTCGATCTCGGGTCCTCCAGAACGGCAAGCCGAAGCTTGTTCTTGTGTTCGTTGGTCATGTACTGTTCAAAAACAATGTAAATAACTTTACTTATATTATGTTTATAGTACATCATTGTTTATATACATGTTTATAAAGTTTATCTGTAAAGGATGAGAAATTAAACATCGTTTTTTCTAAAACTGGATTGAAAATTTAATGGCGCCCAGTTAACAGAAAAGAACCAAACCTTTTAATTGCCTGTTTGAAAGAACCAAGATTATAAACCAATACTTTAATTCATTAATTATTAATTACTGTTAAAATTCCAGTCTGTAGACATATAATACTAACACTTTAAATAAAAGCTTTATATTGAAAATGCCTTATTTCTTTGATGATGTTTTAGTGCTTATATATAAAACATTGTGCTAGAAATAATAATGTTTTTAATTAAACATATATTTATTTGATTATCAAAATAATATTCTGATTAATTGTAATTTATTATAACACTTTAATTATTTTTTAAATGTTATTAAAAAAGAAAAATATTTTCAATACAAACCTCTTTCAACACTTTAGAATCCATGCTTTAAATGTAAGATGTCCTTTTCGAAAAACCGTTAAATTTGAAAATAATCGAACTTAATGTGATTGGCTGAAAAATCGATTGCGTAATATGTCGTTCATCTGTAAACATTCTTAAATATTTTAATTAAAATTTTTTAGAATGTTTCAAAAATAAGCGGAATGATATTTATTGTTAACAAATAATAATAATAATATTTGTTAGAAATTTTTTTTAATATAAAAATTTTAAAAATAATATAAATGTATCTGACACCTTAACTGCTTGGTCATCCGGCCGTCGCTATTTTTTTACTAGACAAACTAGACGGTTGGATGGCAGATCGGTTAAGGTGGCAGCCTACCGCTCTGAGGGACCCGGGTTCGAATACGGACGGGCCGAAAAATCCCCAGGAATTTTTCGGGGATGGCCCGTTCGTCCCTCACCAACCGGCCGCCCCATTGTGGGACTGACAGAATCTATAATGGACTTGCTAAAAAAGGCCCTTTTAGTGCCCACAGGGCTGAAAGAGTAAAAAACTAAAAGATTTTGTATATTGCAATACAGTAGTGATTAAAATTGATTTTCAGTAACTAGCTTGATGAATTCTTAACACAAATTATTTAAATAACATAATACTTTAGTTAAAATCAATTAAATAATTTACTCAGTTTATATTTTAGTTTTTTAAAATATTAATTAAAATATATAAAATTTTTCCTAAAAATAGCTAAAACAAAAATATAAACAAAAATCCACTCGGATATAACGCTACAGTTTTCTGACGTCATTTCCGCGCGAAGTTTGTTTACACTTTGATTAATCCAGGTGGCGTAATCGTAGGCACATGAGATCTTGATCTGTGCCTCTTATTTTTACATCCAATTTCTTTTTTTTTTTTTTTGATAAGTTGATTAACTTTTATTTAGTTCTGTAGAGCTCAAGATGTCGGAAAAGCAAAGAACGAGCCCGATTAAAAACTTTTTATCTGGTGGTGTTGGTGGCATGTGTTGTGTTGCTGCTGGCCATCCTTTAGATACTATTAAGGTAATTTCGTGTTTTTAACATATAATTTAATGATTAATTAAAATGACTGGAATCTGTTCAAATGCTTATAATATTATATAAGATTAGCATTTTAAAAAAATGCAATAATTTCGAAATTGAAATGATTTAAAAGGAAAAGCACATTTTGATTTAATTAAATAATTCAAGTTAATATTTAAAAAGTGCAATTCAATATAGTTGAATATTTCTATTTTTAGAATTATCTATTTAGATTACAGGTGATTATACCATTGATAAATAGGGTAACCTAAAAATTATTGAATAAGTTATTGTGAGCAGCCGGGGTTGATCTAGACTGAACGCTTACTTTGCATGGGTCAATTAACCCAATCTTGTTGTTATAGGATGGTCTATTTGGATTGGGTTAGGATCGTTAGATTTTCATACAGTCAGGACTGACACCAGTTAAACTATTATTTCTAATCGTAGTTTAACACACGATCTAATCTATCATTAAAAATAAAGGAGGGCTTAAAATTCTATTGAGTGGGGAAGATGAGGATAAGTGATAGGATGTCCTTTTAAAGAATTTGAACTGAGTCAAATTAATGATTAAACAATAACTAATTAATAGATACAATAATAAAGAGTACAAATGAACTAAATTACTGTCAAACAAAAAGACATAACAAGAATCCAACTATTATTCGACATTAACTAAATATGTCCCTAATTTGAGAGATCAAGAGAAAGTTTACAATATCTATTATATTACCTCTTAATAACTTGTCTTATAACAATTCTGTTCTTGTGGGCAGAAGTTAGAATCTCAGGGAATTATGGCACACAAATTTATAAGAGGATACTGTATGATGTGGCTGGAGTTTGGCACGTATCCCTTATTTATACTCCCATTCTCCTCCAATGGAGGTTAAGATTTTTAGATTATTGGATATCATGATGAGTCTTTTAGTTAGTCATCTATTTAGTCATGGGAGATACAGATCTCTCTCAGAAACTGACTTTCACCACAGAAAACATTTGTTCCTGGTTCTCTTTGATTTTTAACTTTTATAAAAATATCAAAATATTATATTAACCTTTAGAATATTTTATATTAAAATATTCAGAATCTCATATTATACTGTGTTTTCAAATGAACTTACTTTCTTACAAAATGAACATATTATCAGATAAGTTTTCAGTTACATTTTTTATGAAAAAAGTTAAGAAAACTTTTTTGTGAAGAATGTAACTGAAAATTCTGACATAAAAACTGACAAAGAAACTGGAAATATATACTAAAACAACCACTTCACACCTAAGCGATAATTTCAGCAAACAAACACTAAAAGGTTTAATGTTCAAACGTTTTCGGCCATCTTTCAGAGGCCCTCGTCAGGAAAAATTGCATAGAACAGAAAAACAGCTCTATCAGGGTTAGATAGAGCTTTTTTTCTGTTCTATGCAATTTTTCCTGACGAGGGCCTCTGAAAGACGGCCAAAAACATTTGAACATTAAACCTTTTAGTGTTTGTTTGCTGAAATTATTGCTTAGGTGTGAAGTGGTTGTTTTACTGAAAATTCTGTCATAACTTGTTAGGAAAGTATAAAAACCAAAACTAGGAACACTTCAACAACTTGCGCATCAATGTTTTTACTTCCCAGCAATACTTTTTAATTAAATGAATGCTTCCTTTCTGCTTGCCTTCTTTGGGTTAACAACTAAATCAGAACACTTTGATGACTGAAAGGTTTATCGAGTGAGCCAAAACTGTTTATTAAAAGTATTGGTGGGAAGTAAAGGTGCTGATGTGTGTGTTTTTTAACTCATTAGAATTACATCAAAAACAAGATATTTTTATAACGGGTACATTTCCTGTCAAGCAGCTAAGTAAGCAAACCAATGATATAGTAAATCATTTCATATGAAACGAACTATGTTGTGATACTTTTAATTTTATCATTAATATGGATTTGTTATTCATATACAGAAAGTAAGTTTAAAAAGTATTGAGAAAGGAAAATATTGATATAACTATACAGAATTGTTAATTGGATTTAAGCAAATTGTGATATTATTTAGTTTGTTTTCTATTTGTCTTTTTTGATTTAATTTTTCTGGATGACATCAAGAAACTTAATTCTAATAAGTGCCCACTAGTATCTGAGTGGATAAAACCATCAAACACTGCTAGGTGGTCGTGGGTTCATGCAAGATTAACTGGCTGGCCATGTGAAAGTTTTCCAGGTTTTCTTCATGATAGTAATGCCTAAATACAGGCCAGCTTCACATAAAAGTCTCCATGGAGGTCTTTCCTTTCACATATAGCCCATGTGTCGCATTGCCGTAACAAAATAAATCAAACTAATTCTAATAATTTTTCTATAAACTCACTATTTACAAGGATATACTTCCCACATAGTTTATAGGCATTCTGATAATATTCTTAAAATGGATTTTACCACATATATTTTTGAAATTTATGATTAATAACACTGGATATAAAAATTACTACGGGTACTATATACAACGGGTGCTATATAAACCCAGGCAAAGCTGCATGTAACAATTAATTTAATGTGATGTGTACTATATAAACTGGGCAAAGCTCAGTGTAACAAGCTAGTTTATCAAATATTCTAAACTATGATTACCACAATGATTTAAAGCTTAGCTATTTAATTATATCTGGAATATATCCAAATCTTTAATGTTTACAACAAGCAGATCTGGTTTTTTGTAACCTTTAAAGAGGAAAAAAAATACAAAATTTTTTTTATAATGAGAAAAGAAATTACAACAAACTACATGTTGAAAAAGTTTACTTGTACCACAAGCATCACAAAATCCAGAAAAATAACAATATTTTTATTAAGTAACTATCTGACACATGTAATTTTTCAGTTACTGGAAATGAAAAAAAGATATACAAGTATAAAATATAAACTGTTACATTTTTATTTAATACTAGCTGCAAGATCCCGCTTCGCTGGGTTTTTATTTGTATGTAATATAGTTTTTTTTTTATATATATAAAAGACTGTTTTTCTAAGTAATCTAGAATCTAGCTGCAAGGACCCGCTTCGCTGGGCAAAAAGTAACGATAGTGAAGATTAAGATAATTACGTTATAGCTAATCTTACCCGTTTTCACAGAATGCAAGAATTAGGTCCCCCGTTT